TTAAGCAATTCTGCCTCAGCCTCCTGAGTAGCTGGGATTACAGGCATGTGCCACCACACCGGCTAATTTTTGTATTTTTAGTAGAGACAGGGTTTCACCATGTTCATCAAGCTGGTCTTGAACTCCCGACCTCCAGTGATCCACCCGTCTTGGCCTCCCAAAGTGCTGGAATTAAGCTGTGAGCCAGCACGCCCGGCCTGACACTATTATTAATAGATAGAATGATCAGTGAAATCTCATCAGCACTGATAAGCTGTAAAACATGCCAGCAAATGACTGACTTAGTGCATCCCAGCCTCCAAAGTGTGTTACCAAAGATTTTAAGACTAAGTTTGGTAGTTACCATGAGTCCATGCCCCTCAGAAGAGACTTTTTAATGTAGGAAATTTCATCTTTGAACTGTGTGGCAAACCAGGGAGCATGATTTTGCTCCATCTGGGATCCATCGGTCAACAGATACTTCTTGAGTATGTAGTTGATGGAGACTATGATAGGCTCTGGATGGATCTCTTATCACATTTTCCATAAATCCGTGTGTGAGTCATTGCCCTTATTTGCTTCCTACTTGTTCTGTTTCTTTCTCTTTTTTTTCTTTAAGGAAATGCCTTAATTGCAATGAGGTGTTCATTTTATAATATGAAAATGTGAAGAGAAACATTTATTCAATAAACATTTGAGTATCAATTCAGTTGAGGGCCCCTGTCAAGGCCCCCACCCTCTTTTTTCTGTGTTTAGTGAGGGGGTCTGACGCATGACTGAGCCTCAGTTGGGAGGGGCTGAGGGGATCGGGAGGACTTCCGATGGGGAGCAGCTGGTGAGAGCTCCACGATGGAGAGAACTTGGCAAGGTTGAAGAGGAATGGCGGGCAGGGGACGGAGAAGAGCGAGAGGAGAGGAGGTGAGGCTGCCCCAGTCAGTCTGGAAACTTCAGCTTCCTCTTCAGGTCACTAGGAGCCATCAGAGGGTTAAGCCAATAGAGACAGCTTCCTGTTTTTAAGAGGTCAGTCTGGCTGCTGTGCCGGAAGCAAGAGAGAAAGAGTCTTGGGGGAGTTCCGAAGAGGTGACGGTGGTGGAGGAAAGGGGAGTCATACCGGGTATCTTTCGGAGGTAGAAGCAGTGGGACCTTCTGACCATTGGGAGGTGGTGGCGGGTAAGGGAAAAGGGAATTGCATGCCCGCTAGGTTTTTGCTTTTGCTAACTGGGTAAATGCTGATGTCACGTACTGAGGAAGAAGAGGGCAGGTGGAAATCCACAGTTTTGGTTTGGTTATAGTTTGGGATCCCCGTGGACAAGAAGTTTCTATGGGTATATTATGAATGCCTTCTGAATTAAGCAAGGGTTTAAATCACATCCTCTGATTTATTCTCCCCAAAGACCACTAGATGCCGCTGTTTACACAGGTGCAATTACTTGTGCAGCACAAGACTCCTTTTTTGAGGAGAGGGCACTGATGCCTGAGAGGGACCCGCAGGAGGGTAGCCCCTGCCTTTGAGGGGGCTACTCTTAACGGGGAGACATCACCCTTCAGTGTGGTCTTCACATGTAATAGCAGTGTGACTTCACATGGGACAGAAAGCTAGGGACACTAGGTGGCGTTTGAGCTGGGTCTTCAGGGTTGCAAGGCATTTCAGGTGGGGGCAGGGCGCTCCAAGCAGAAGGAACGGCCGGGCAACAGAGCACGTCTCACTGCTCATAGGGTAGATGGTACAGCGAAGAGATTGTTGGCATAGGGGGTTGGAATTTTTCAGTGTTTCTCAACAAAGGCACAGATAGCCTTTTAAGAAGGACTGTTCCCTATGCCACCTCACCCACTGAATGCCAGTAATCTCTCAGGTCAGACTACCAAAAAAAAAAAAAGACTGCAGGGAGGGATGGAACACCCCAATTGAAATCCCTTACACAATGCCTAACCCCAGAGTGATGGAGAAGGGGGAGGCAGCTCTGGGTCTGCACCCCTCCCTCATCTTGTGTTAATTTTGAGGTTCTCTAAGGCAGTGGCCTGCTCTGCGCTTTGCACATAGTGGCATTTGATTGGCTGATAATCCTGGTGAGTGGACATTTAGCATGGCTTCCTAGAATAGAGAATGTCTCTTACCATTCCCCAGAGAAGGAATGCAAGGTAGGGAAATTAACATAGAAACGGGTCCCTCTGATTATTAGACTTGATACTAACTTAAAACTTTATTGGTACTTGCTTAAATGTTCCATCTTCTTTTTATTTCCCCAAAGCCTGGAAGTCATATAAACTAGTATAGGAACTAGTATAGAGCTGCTCACCTACCACAGAACAAGTAGACTCCATGCTGGAAGGAGATGTATCAGTTCTACAGTCAGTGATACATGGGGTTTCACAAGCTCTACCTTTTTGAATTCTTTGTTTGTAATTGCGTGACATCTCTGTGCCCTTTTTTTCCAGACAATTTATGAAAACCGAATATACAGCCTTAAAATAGAATGTGGACCTAAATACCCAGAAGCACCCCCCTTTGTAAGATTTGTAACAAAAATTAATATGAATGGAGTTAATAGTTCTAATGGAGTGGTGGACCCAAGAGCCATATCAGTGCTAGCAAAATGGCAGAATTCATATAGCATCAAAGTTGTCCTGCAAGAGCTTCGGCGCCTAATGATGTCTAAAGAAAATATGAAACTCCCTCAGCCGCCTGAAGGACAGTGTTACAGCAATTAATCAAAAAGAAAAACCACAGGCCCTTCCCTTCCCCCCCATTCAATTTAAGCAGTCTTCATTTTCCACAGTAGTAAATTTTCTAGATACGTCTTGTAGACCTCAAAGTACTGGAAAGGAAGCTCCCATTCAAAGGAAATTTATCTTAAGATACTGTAAATGATACTAACTTTTTGTCCATTTGAAATATATAAGTTGTGCTATAACAAATCATCCTGTCAAGTGTAACCACTGTCCACGTAGTTGAACTTCTGGGATCAAGAAAGTCTATTTAAATTGATTCCCATCATATCTGGTGGGGCACATCTAACTCAACTGTGAAAAGACACATCACACAATCACCTTGCTGCTGATTACACGGCCTGGGGTCTCTGCCTTCTCTCCTCCCCCTCCTGCCTCCCACCCTCCCTGCAACAACAGCCCTCTAGCCTGGGGGGCTTGTCAGAGTAGCTGTGAAGGTTTCAGGTCGCAGCCTGTGGGACTACTGCTGGGTGTGTGGGGTGCTTTGCCTGCACCCCTGGTTTCTTTAAGTCTTAAATGATGCCCCTTCCAAGCCATCATCCCGTCCCCATGCTCCTCCACTCCTGCCCTTGGCCGAAGCATAGATTGTAACCCCTCCGCTCCCCTCTGAGATTGGCCTTCGGTGAGGAATTCAGGGCTTTCCCCATACCTTCTCTCCCCCATCTTTATCGAGGGGTGCTGCTTTTTCTTCCCTCCTCCTGAAGTTCCTTTTTGCCCCATCACCACCCAACACCTTCCATGACACTTCCTTGCTTTGGCCAGAAGCCATGAGGTAAGGTTGGAAAGAGTCTCTCACCGCCCTTGTTTAGTTTCAGAACCATACTTTTTCACTCTCCACCAGCCTGGGAAATGAATATTGGGTCCTCAGCCCTGCCACCCTCTGCTGTCATCAGCTGATGCGTTGTTTTTAGCTCAGGTTTTGATAAGGTGAAAAGAATAGTCACCAGGGTTANTGTCCCCCCCGACCTGGGTGCAGCGAAGAGGACAGGCCCTAAGCCCGACAGCAGCCAGCCTAGCAGTGGCCATTGTTGCGGAGCCAAGTAGGGCTGGGTTGATTCTCACGAAGTGTGAGTACCACTGTTTCCTTATCCCAGATTGTAAGCATTCTGGGCACAAAAGGGAAAGGCAGGCTGACTGGAGGGAGGGACTCTTGCAGGTAGGTATTCCGCATGCCAGGTGTTATGACTAGCAGCAGGTTCAACCTGAAAAGTACATCTTACTCCATTTGAACCTTAGCTTAACCCCGGCATATAGCTATTTTGTTTGAGCGTCTGAGAGTAATTTGCTTTTGTTTGCCTTGTTGTAGGTGGACCCAAGAGCCATATCAGTGCTAGCAAAATGGCAGAATTCATATAGCATCAAAGTTGTCCTGCAAGAGCTTCGGCGCCTAATGATGTCTAAAGAAAATATGAAACTCCCTCAGCCGCCTGAAGGACAGTGTTACAGCAATTAATCAAAAAGAAAAACCACAGGCCCTTCCCTTCCCCCCCATTCAATTTAAGCAGTCTTCATTTTCCACAGTAGTAAATTTTCTAGATACGTCTTGTAGACCTCAAAGTACTGGAAAGGAAGCTCCCATTCAAAGGAAATTTATCTTAAGATACTGTAAATGATACTAACTTTTTGTCCATTTGAAATATATAAGTTGTGCTATAACAAATCATCCTGTCAAGTGTAACCACTGTCCACGTAGTTGAACTTCTGGGATCAAGAAAGTCTATTTAAATTGATTCCCATCATAACTGGTGGGGCACATCTAACTCAACTGTGAAAAGACACATCACACAATCACCTTGCTGCTGATTACACGGCCTGGGGTCTCTGCCTTCTCTCCTCACCCTCCTGCCTCCCACCCTCCCTGCAACAACAGCCCTCTAGCCTGGAGGGCTTGTCAGAGTAGCTGTGAAGGTTTCAGGTCGCAGCCTGTGGGACTACTGCTGGGTGTGTGGGGTGCTTTGCCTGCACCCCTGGTTTCTTTAAGTCTTAAATGATGCCCCTTCCAAGCCATCATCCTGTCCCCACGCTCCTCCACTCCTGCCCTTGGCCGAAGCATAGATTGTAACCCCTCCGCTCCCCTCTGAGATTGGCCTTCGGTGAGGAATTCAGGGCTTTCCCCATACCTTCTCTCCCCCACCTTTATCGAGGGGTGCTGCTTTTTCTTCCCTCCTCCTGAAGTTCCTTTTTGCCCCATCACCACCCAACACGTTCCATGACACTTCCTTGCTTTGGCCAGAAGCCACGAGGTAAAGTTGGAAAGAGTCTCTCACCACCCTTGTTTAGTTTCAGAACCATACTTTTTCACTCTCCACCAGCCTGGGAAATGAATAGTGGGTCCTCAGCCCTGCCACCCTCTGCTGTCATCAGCTGATGCGTTGTTTTTAGCTCAGGTTTTGATAAGGTGAAAAGAATAGTCACCAGGGCCACTCAGACCTGCCAGCTCTCAGAGTCCTTGGTGGTTGAACTCGGAGAAAGACCACATGAAGACACTTGTAAGCACACATGATCCCTCTGAATTGTTTTACTTTACTGTAATTGCTTTTGCTTTTAAAAATTGAAGAAGTTTTAAACAGGGCTTTCATTTGGCCATCCTTGCAATCCATTGGGGTCTAGTTTGGAATCTGACAACTGGAACAAAAAGAACCTTGAATCCGGTGCATGCCTTGGTTTTGGTGCTGCTGCTTCTCAAGATCCTCAGCAGGGATTAAGAAAGAACCCGGTGTGCACAGCAGATCCCCGAAATTGGCGGGCTTGACCTCCTGGCAAATTGCTGCGTCTTTCCACTTTCTGTTCAGGACCACTAAATGCTGAAATGTGGATGCATACCGAAATAAAAGCAATTCATTGTGTACTAAAGGTTTTTTTAATTTAGTATTTGTGTAAACCACCTTTTGGAGCAGCAACTATCAAGTCTGAAAAGCAATTGATGTTTCCATTGATCTTTTTCCGGGGGAAAACCTTAGTTCTGAGGATTTAACATCCTGTAAGTGAAATTTAACATAACAGTATTCCATAAGCAGCCTTTTTATTGTCAGACCATTGCCTGATTTTAATATAATAAAAAAAAAAAGTGTGCGTTAATATTTAACAGGCTGTGCTCTTCTTCCTCTTGGCATATTAGGGACAGAATTTAAAGTTTTAGATGCTTTGGGATTCAAGTTGACATCCTAAAGCAGGGGTTGTCGGCAAACTTTTCCTAAAAGGGCCCAAATTAGTAAATACATAGGCTTTGCAGCCCAAGAGGCAAAATCTCAGGACATTAGGTAAGTACTCATATGCTGAGAGAAAACAGATTTCCCCAGATTTTTAGTTGGTGAAATTCAAACTAGAGTTGAGTTTATTTGTAGTGTTACTGGCTCACTAATGTGAGGACTGGAGTTCTTTTAGTAGATAACATTTTGTTTAATTGGAATTCCTTAGTGTTCCCTGTCATCAAGTTTCTTGCAAATGTTCATCTGTAAAAATCATTCTTCATGCGAGAAGCCATACAGAATCAGGTGGGGGGCTAGATTTGGCCCATGGATCATAGTTTGCCAACCCCTGTCCTAAAGACGTTAGGTTTTTGTTGTTGTTTGTTTGTTTTGAGACAGAGTTTCGCTCTTGTTACCCAGGCTGGAGTGCAGTGATGCAATCTCGGCTCACTGCAACTTCTGCCTTGTGAGTTCAAGCAATTCTCCTGCCTTAGCCTCCCGAGTAGCTGCAATTACAGGCGCACTCCACCACATCCACCTAATTTTGTGTATTTTTAGTAGAGATGAGGATTTCTCTGTGTTGGCCAGGCTGGTCTCGAACCCCTGACCACAGGTACTCCACCCACTTTGGCCTCCCAAAGTGCTGGGATTACAGGCATGAACCACCATGCCTGGCCCAAGATGGTAGTTTAAAAAATGGTTCTTCATTTGGTTTAAGTAGCTTCATAGGTCTTGGGCTATTAAATGTCCATTAGAAGCCCTTTATTGGCTTGACTTAGTAGTCTTTTCAGAAAAAAAAAAATCTTAGGATTGTCACATATATTTCTGATGTTTGAAACAAGAATTTCGATCTGATGATTAACGATTTGTCTACCATCTACTGCATAAGCAGTGGGAACATGTCTCGTTTTTACCCAGAGCTTCAACTTCCTGCTGTGGTCCCAGCTACACATGGGTGCAGCCTTGGTGGCAGGAGCAGGCCAGTCCCTCTGGCTGTTGAGGCCAGCTCAGGTGTCAGAAGAGCTGGCTGTAAGGAAAGGGCCAGGTTCTTTCCAACAGGCCACACTCCAGAAAGCCTTGCCCAGATTTCTGCCAATGGTCTTTGGAGTCCTCTGGAGTAGACTGCTGCCCTTCGGTTCTGAAAGTCCATGCAGGCCAGGGGCAGCTATGTGTTCTTCATTCTCAGTCAGCTCTCCCAAGGGAGAAGGACAGGAGAGTTTCCAAAATCATTGCAGGTCAGACATGGTGGCCCACGTCTGTAATCCTAACACCTTAGGAGGCCAAATCGGCAGAATCACTTGAGCCCGGGAGTTTTGAGGCCAGCCTGAGCAACACAGGAAAACCCCTGACTCCAAAAAATTTAAAAATGAGCCAGTATAGTAGTGAGTGCCTGCAAGTCCCTGCTGCTTAGGAGGCTGAGGTGGGAGGATCACTTGAATCTGGAAGGTCAAGGCTGCAGTGAGCCATGATGGTGCCACTGCATCCTGCCTGGGTTACAGAGGGAAACCCTGTCTCGAAAAAATAAAATTTCAAAATGTTGCTGGAGAACCCCAGAACAAATTCGTGGTTAAATCTAAAGGTGACGTCTTCTGTGCTGAGTGACCCCGAGAGGAAAACAAATCCTGCCTGAAATCCTAGGGTGTGCACTTTTTACCTTATTAGCAGGTTGGCTGGACCTGGCTTAAGGCCTGTGAAACTTTAACACTCCAAATCCTCTGAGACAGCCGTTCGGATCTGTGATCTTATGGGCACTGTGTCCCACGCTTGTGTCATTTGCTCTTCCTTGGTGGTGAGTTAACAGATGGTCTGAAGTTTACGGACAGAGTTTAGACCTATATTGAGGGCACACAGGAAGTGCTTATGGGAGGTTCAGATGTTGCCTTTTTTTTTTTTTTTTTTTT